TTTCCCCTCCTCTGATGTGAGAGGCTTCAAAACTTCTCCAATATTTGGGCTGTGGTTAACACTTAGGTTTTACCACATACACCCCCAAGACTCTCATCTTCCTCTTATGCATTTCAGATGAAAGAGCTTTAACATCCTTGTACCTCCTCATCTAGCAGTAAAAACTTTAAATTTACAAAGAAATGGTGTCACTGCTACAGTGCAAAATCAGAAAGAAAATTCAAAAACATCTGGATAGAGACAAAGGTGAACAGTATTTGCAGCTGCTAAGCAAGATTCGACTTGGATTTTTATCTGACAAGTACAGTCATGGGTTAAAATTCACTGCAGCTGGGAAATGAGATTATCTGAGTTAAATTAAGGTTCTTATGCCTTCACACTCACATGTCCAATTATACCAAATATTTGTATCTCTCCCCTGCAAATGGAGGCAGCATATATCCAAAACCAATCCTTTTAAAAGTGTCATGGACTACTCTATTTCCTTTTTTCTTTTCCTCTTTTCAGTTGGGAATCTGACCATGTACATGTTAACAATTTGCAGTGTTCCCAAACAGTATTCATATTCTTTAACCAAAGCCAGACAAAATGACCACAAGACATCACAGGCCCAGTCATTAAGGGCAAAGAAGGCTGTCTTCACTGTGTCTGGGAACATGGAGATCTTCAAGTGAACAGGAGAGCAGCATGGGGAAGTCAAGCCTGCTCTGCCATTTAGGTGTACAAGACACAACTCTACCTCATGAAGACAGAAGCACAATGACAAAGCAGGTGGGACTTTTCATAAATGGGAAATAATATGGTCTACATTTGGCCAGTGTCTGAACTCCAGGACTGACAGACCTAAAGCCAAATTCACAAAGAGAGATAGTGCTAGCTTCTGCTCCCCTCCAGCTAGCACCAGCAGCACAAATTCCCTAGCTCATTTCATCAAATCTTGTGACACAGGTACTTCACTCACTGACCAGGAGTCAAATGACATGGCTAACCCTGAAGTGTAACCAAGATTCATGCTTTTTTATCCACTTGTGCCAAGCAAAATCCATCAGAAGATTATAAGGTGCAAATGCAAATGCTACATCATCAAGCCACAAGTTTCAAGTGGCTAAGGCTCTTCAAATACTACCCTATTAAGGTGTGATCTTTGACTAAGATGTTCTACTTCTGTTCCTTCTGCAGGTGCACAGTGACAGCTGGGGCTGGATTTCCTTCTCATCTGTGTTATTGCCCAGGCATATGACAAATGACACTTCACATGACATTTTTGTATGGAATCACACAACTGTACACACACGTGCATAACAGGCTGCTCCCACTGGAAAGACACCACCCCTAGAACGATGTGTTTGGGCTAGTTTTCAGAAAAGAAGTGGACATCCTCACAGGTCCTTGAAACCCCATAGCCTGGGCACAACCACTCTGGGGCCCTTGGACACACTCAGAGCGTGCTCTCATACTTCTTCCACTGTCTGAAACAGCATGTGTTGTGAACATTTATATGAGAAGCTTTCAAAAATAAATGCTTTTAAAATAGTGGTGCTTCTAAGATTTTCCTTTTTTTTTTTTTTTTTTTTAAAGTAATTTGTCATTTGGAGTATTTTGTTTACCTCAAATGCCTGGGGGAACCAGTATTGCTATTCACTTATTACTTAAAGGAGGTCCTTTCTTTCAGGAAAAACTTATGGAGGAAACTGAAATAGAGACTCTTTCAAAAATGGATGGACATACATATAGAAAAGACAGTAAGTAAATATTTATTATCCACTCTCCTCCCCAAGACCTTGCAACCGGAGTTGCTCAACTGAGTCAGCAGAGAAGTGGACAAGTCATTTCACTGGCCAAATGCCTATGAAAGAGGAATAATGGAGCATTATGCTACATGTGCTCAGGACAGAAAGACTCTTGGTGAAGCAGAAGAATAAAAGCACAGGTAAGAGTCTAGAAGAAAGCCAATGTAATACAGCAAAGAAGAAAAGGTGAAGAGCAGGGAAGAAAGGATAGTCCAAGTCAGCCCCTTGCCGTCACATAAATCAGCTGTATCTGATTTTTATCCTCCAGAAGTGACATCAGGTGGAAGATCCTTACAAGCATCTACAGACCCCTAGCTTGCTTTTGGGAGCCCAGGACCCCTGCAGTTTTTGCCTCTGGCCAAACAACAGTCCTCTTGCACTCTTCTGGGATGAGTAAAGAAGTCAGCATCCACAGCTCTTGATGCTAATACCCTACTAAATGGCAAATATTGCATCTACCTTTAGTATGCTATTATTTCAGGATGTCTAAATACAGAGGTATCAATTACAAGTTTCATACCATCAAGCTCCTTAGTGCAAACACAAGTATAGAAATTTCAGCATACATAATTAGCAGGAACTCCAGAAATGAGTAATTAAAAGGTACTGGAATCCAACCAGAATCATCAAAAAAACCATTATTTTGTCTGATTATCATCACCTACCGCAACTTTGTATCCCAAAGCACACAAAAAAACCAAAGAATATAAAAAAATAGGAATAAATTAAAAATCAACCACTGCCAATCTGAATTGCTTAATTGCAATACTGAAAGACTATTTTGAGTGCTACAAAGTATTGCTAGAATTTCAAGAAATATAATTTATAGAAATATAATTTACTTAGAGAAATCTACATCACATGCCATAAAAATGACCAGCTCTACCCTCTCTATAGATTTTAACATCTTACTCCCCCATTACTTTAGGAAATACTGAAAACAATTTTTTCTCCATTCTGTAATACTGCAACTTGACAGCAAACATACCACACAGTGCTGCCTTTTGAAACCCCGAAGATGGATTTATGTTCAGCAGACTTAAAACAACCTTCTTAATGGCCACAAATCAGATAGTCTCATAGTGGAGAGCTTTGACTGCCTTTGTGTCAGATCTCATTCTCATGTTGCAGCAGGTACTTAAAGAGTAAGAATCATTTTTTCCAAAGCATTTTTGATGTCCAACTCCCTTTGAAGCCTCCCTTCCTATGTATCTTTGAAAATCTGATCTTCAATTTGTTATCCATTTTCCCTTCCCACTTGATATGACAATGCTTTCCCTCCTTCCTTCTTGAACACTCAAATAAAAGGGCAGTAGCAGGTCTGTACTGCTTAAATGAATGAAGAGAAGTTTCTCAGAAAATAACAGCTCCTTCTCCCAGTCTTCATCTATTATTTTCCATTTCAGTTGCATAAAACATCATCATGATGGGCCACAGGCTTCTGTTTCTCACTCTATGCTATCCATCAGATTTGATTTACATTCTTAAGATAAAAGTAAAGATCACCGTAGGCAGAAACTGGGAGCAGTGGTCTGCCATGGAAAACAGATTTCCTACTCCTTTCAAGTTTACTGATTACTCACGGCCTTTCCCCTCTAAAGGGTATCTACCAAAGTGGGCACTGTGTTGGAAAAGCCACCAGCTGTCTGATAAAACTTAATGAATGGCAATTTCATGAGCTTCTGTTGTTATTGTTCCTTTAACTCCTTCAGTATCAACCCACCATGGCAATTCCCTGGCAAAGAAGATTAGAGATAAGGCAAAACTACGAACATTTTGATCCCTACTCCAGTAATTTTTTTAAAGAGATTTTCTTAGGCAAGTTATACAAGGCCATAATTTTTATGGTGCCCAGCGCCTGCTCTTTTCTACAATAGAGGGCATGTTGTGAAAATACTCTTAAAGAGAACAGGAAAACCTCAAATACTGTAGTATTTATATAGTCAGCATCACTTTGGCATACTATGCCTGATTTTTCTGAGTGCTTTAGCCAGACATTTTAGTCCTCTGCATTTGATCCTGGGAAATTTCTGTCTGGTCAAGGTCTATAATTTCCTTGTTACTTCCTCATCAGTGAAGACCATGCTGCCTGGCCAAGAGAAGAATTTTGCTCTCTCAAAGTGAAATTAAGCACACAAAGAGTTATTATACATAAGCTGCACGTAGAGATTAAATTCAGACTCAATCACACAACTAAATCCCCATTCAGTGTTTTGAAAACTTACAGCTAGTTGTGAAGCTAAAAATATTGGCTAACAAAGTGAGCTATCTTCCAACCACATCCTCCTGCAGAAAAACATCAATAGAAGACAAGTCTGAAAATGTGCCTTAGAGGAATTAATGAACATTTGTTTGAAATGCAGCCATTTCACTTTGGGACAGGTATTTTTTTTTCCTTTTTCTTTCTTCTTCCCTTCCCCTCATCTAGTGAACATATCCTGTGCTTCAGGGTATGGAAACCTGTCAAAATCACACCCATAGTCAAATCAAATTTAACATATCTTTACAAGATATTTATAACATGCAAATACCTAGAGGCCCTTCTTCTCAGTCACATGAAGATCTCTTATGCTAGGGAAGGAGGGTTCTCTCACGTTAGTGAGAATGTGTGCATGGTAGAAGCTGATTTCACATATTATATTTGACATGTGAAGATTTAGCAACCCACATCTCCACTCCACGTGCAACAAACAAGCAAACCACATTGCAGCATCTAGAAAGAGTTTGGTGAGCCCTTACAACCACATCCTTACAACCAGCCACTCCTGTCTCAGCAGGATTCTGCTTCAAGAATCCCAGAAAAAATAATTTTACTTCAACCTTCGTTAAAAAAAAAATAGGAAACTTTGGCTTCAATCACTCCACTCCTTTTTAAGTCTCTTTAGCAGCTCAAGGAGCCTAACAAAACATTTTCTCAAGATAAAACAGATTAGCAGTAAAAATTCCACCTTCAGATTCTTAGGCATCTGCTTCACTCACAAATTTTGTCTCTTGGCACACATCTCGTTCAGAAATAAATTTTTCTACTAGTTTCCTTGAAAAACTTTCCCTTCTTTGTCACTTAAGAGCAATCAGAGACAGGAATTTTCAAATTAGAGAGCTGAGAGCAGAACCGCCAAGCACAAGCTGTCTCTCAGGACACTTTGGGAACAACATCCGCAATCGCATGCTGAGTGCCCACGCCTGCTGCGCCCACTGCAGCACCCAAACCTGCGGGGCTCTGTGTGCTAGGGCTGAGCAGCCAGTCTGCAGTGCTGAGGAGGGTCATGTCACCTGAGGGAAAAGGGCAGACAAAAGAAAACCATTTGGCTTCGACTCAGGAGGCAAACATCTATTGCAAGTTACAGCTTTCTGGGTAGAATTCACTCCAAATTCTTCTAAACTGGAAAGTTCTAGTGTTCTAGACAAATAAGTTACCATGGTTTAATTGACTTCCTTCAATAAACTGATACCTATCTAGAAGCTGAGATATTATTTCCAAAATTATTTTCTACCTGAGGTTAGTGCATTAATAGATACAACATACACCTCATTTCCTGATGAAGTAATATTAAGCACTTCTCACAGTGGATGCACACAGCCCTACACGTCGAACAAAAAGTCAAGTCAGACGATGAACATCTTTCAGTGTTTCAAGGAACACTCCCTATTTTTTTTTTTTTTTTTTTTTTGCTACAAAAGAACCTTCACGTTATATAGAAGGTAGAAAAGCTCATGAAGTTTACAACAAAGGCTTCTGTGAGGTAGAGGAATTTTAATTTGAAAGGGCAATTTTATTCTGTACCAAAAGTGGTCTATACCTGGTAATATGATATAAAAATATAATAACATACTTGTTTATTTTAAAGGAAGAAGATTCATTTATGGACATAAAATATTTTCCTGTTTAAACTCCATGAGCACAGTAAGCACTTTAGTTATCCTTTAAATAGGTGTGGGGTTTTTTTAACAGCTTAATATTTGATTGAAGCAATACTTTTACAGCAATAGCAAAAAGTAAATTACACACAAGTCTGGCACAAGTCCCTGTTAATCTGATAACCCATAAACTGTCCCCACTACCAAGGACTCCAATTACAATGAATAACAAAGATATGTGGGGAATTGAGTGGGGGGACAACATCTGTTTGATTGGCATGTGCCTTTCCTGGAAAAATGCATGTCCATAATCCTAAAGAGTTTGACAGCACTACTACAACCCAGTTCTCAGGAAAAAAAAAAACTCATATCTTTGCTACAACAGTTGTAGCAGTTTACCTACACATTTACACTAAAGAGCAATACTGAACCTGCATGACTCTGTCTTCTAGTAATGCATTAAGTCTCTGTTCACACAACTAGTTAAATGTCACGTATGATCTTTCCCACTATTTCCATAGAAATGCTACAGGAAAGAGCATTTTTTGCTGCTTCTTTCATAAACTCTTCTGTGTTTCATTACATACATTATTATATGTATTATAGATGTATTATATTACTGGCAAAGCTGTTAGGTTGTTCTGTTGTTAGTATTCTACTGAGAACAAACATAACTTATCAACTGCCTGACTGCTTCTTGAGAAATAGGTATCAGTTTACCCCATTGAATTACTACACCTGTTTGAATTTTGGCCACTCCATCAGAGCAGCAAGCTAGCCTGGGGAACTTTCAACACTCAGTTTTATTAGCCTACTTGACAAAATTCTCATAGCCTTAGGAGCTTGCAGAAAGTGAGAACATAAAGAAATACCAAAATAGAAAAAAAAGACTGAAAAATTACATTTTGTACTATGGCAATTGTAAACACCTACTTCTTTTCTCTCATCATTAAACGTCTTTTTCAGTTTTTTGACCTTTTTTAATTTAAGCTCTGCACATACTACCTGCTCAGTCCACTCAAACTCCATGAAAGAAACATAAATCTGTAATGAAAACTATTGCTGAAACTTGATAATAGTAACTACTGATAAACATTGAACATTGCCTTTATGTACCATATGAATAAACACGGAACACCTAAAATAGTAAAACATTATATAGCTTGCTGACTGTAAGAACACCAAAGCAAAAAAGGAGAAAAAACAAATTATGAAACACTGAAAAAAAAAAAAAAAAGCTGGCTCACCTTCTGTGCCATTGGGTGTCATGGAATTATTATTTATATGGGAGTTATCAAGTTTTGGACCACTGGGGGATTCACTACTACCACTTAGTCGTCTGTGTGGGCTGGCTAGATCCTGCATTTCCATAGACCTGAAAACAAGATGCAACTCGTTTTAGTGACATAAGTCATCATGAATTACAGACGAACTGCCTTTATAAGATGCAGCCTGCTATTTACCAACATCCCAGAAAGACTTAGCAAAAAATCAGCTACTTTTCCCAACTTGATCTTTTCCAGTGTTTAACTCATGTTGTAGCCCCACACATGAGTGGCCAGCTTCTTTAATTATTTTTGCAGCTTGCAACTAAATAAAACCTAGATTCCAAGCACTGCACTTTAAAATTTGGTGTAATCTTGTATTTTTAAAATATGTACAAAGATGGAATCACCAACATATGAAGACGTATATTCTCTTAAAACAAATTAACACTCTGCTTTTTCAAGATTTACCACTCAGTGGCAATATAACGGACCTCCAAAACAAATAAAACACTTGAAGCAATTGTGGAAACCTATCATCTACTGACAGGGAATGAGATATTCCTGATGTATGTGTTTACTCTGGCAAACTACTTAATTGTTCCTCTGTTTCCTTTGAAACAAATGCAGCATTAAAACATTATTATGTCTGCTCACTTGTTTGCTTTGTGGATTACATAAAGCGTGCCCAATTGGAAAGGGATCTGACCGATGTACAGTGAGTCCATACAGGCGTTAGTGTGCCTGAGCACTCTGCTGTGCCTCAGCAGCTGTCGCTTAGTCAAAATGAGGAAAGAGCAATCCCCAGCTAAAGCAAAAATTAAATGTTTAAGGCGCACAAAAGCAGCTGAATATTTAAGATTTGTGCTTTCAATAGCCCTATATTAACAGTCACCACCACCATGACATATCCCTTGGTTGGTGCTGGGGCTTATGAGTGAAGTTCCCTATCCTTCTGCTCCTTTATAGCTAAAACTTTTGATATTGTTATTTGACGTACTCATTCTAAGTAATTGCTCCCAGTAGAAACTTCATAGGTTACTGTGCCTCCAAGGCAGTTGAACTAGTAATTTTTCAGTTTAAAAGAAATGCTTAGGATCTTTTAAAGACTATTAAAATTATATATAAAATTACTCCTGCAGTAATGGTATAAATACTCTAAGTGTCTTTTTAGCTACAAAGCTTTTGTGTTTTAACTGAAATTTTATCACAGATTCTAAACATAGATCATTTAATATTTCTTTACCTAAAACATTCTACACAAAAAGAAGAAGATGATACTGCAATGAGTTCAAAATGCCTGCATTGAATACAAACTCGAACAATTTAGTGGAAAAGTTACGTGTTCATGGTTTACAGACGTGGTTGCACAGACGTAAGGCTGCGCTCCAGCACTTACTCATCTGCTTAATGTGAGAAACAAGAATAAATATTTTGCTTATCACTTGAAGTTAAAAAAAAATCCCCAACAATAGAAGACTCACAAAAAATTAGCATTTTTTTGGTCAAATCCTTACCTGCAGCTCGAGGAAACAGCAACATCTGAACTGGTTTGGGACTTCTGCACCTGCAAACCAGGGAAACAAACAGAAGCTTCTATTACTCCACTTTACTACGAGGCCTTAATTTAAAGAAAGGATATCACTACGGATGACAATTCTGTCCTTTAAATCCAAAGGGAGAGGAGGAGGGTGCGGTGCCCCTGAAAGGCATATTGTCTTTAAATTGAAGGCTCAACTGCTGTTTCCCCGGCAGGTCTCTCTCCCTCCTCCCCGCGCCAGGGGACGGCAGCCAAGTGACGGGATAGTGATTCATCAGGGGCCCGTGACAGCTGCACAGGGGCTCACTCCTCCCCCGGCTCGGCCCGGCCCGGCCCGGCCCGGCCCGGCCCGGCTCGGCTCGGCTCGGCTCTGCCTGCAGCCCGCAAAGGTAACCCCGCCGCGCCGCCCGCCCAGGGCAGCACCCGCGGCTCCTGCCCGAGCCCCTCAGCATCCTCTCGCCCTTCGCATCCCTCCTTTCTCCCTCTCTCCTGACAGAGTCTTGCCCTCATCATACTGGTTTTCCTCTTTCTTTGCTCTTCGCCATCCTTCCTTTGTGCCTGGGCCACAGGGAACCCACAAGTCAAGCTCACCCCAAAGGCAAGTTGGTGATGATGTTATTTTTGGGGAGGAGGGATAGAGGATAACAAAGGGCAAGTCTACCTATGTCAAAGACCTTCACTACATAGCACACAGCCTTACAGAACACCTCTGAAAGAAGCCCATCTCCAGCCAGGTCAAATTAAAATAAAAACTCCACATTATTGCATAGTCTTACTCCTAAAAATCCCAGCTGCTAATGAGATTTCTGATAAAATTACTTAAAAGGATACTTCTGGCTAAATAAATGGGAGGAAGCTGTAAAATTTACCGCTGAGGTCGCTCATGAAGAAAAGGAATCTTTTTCCACTGGAAAGCCCATCAATAATTTTTCGTCTAATCGAATTATTCCTTTTTATAACTCAGGTGAGTAATAGTTTTCATATTCCATCAGAAAACCTCTGCTGCTTTACTAACAAACTCTAGGCAGTAACAATTGTCAGCAGGTGATAAAATTCAGGTGGAAATACACTCCTAGACACTGTTAGCTCCAAAGCACACGAAAGCTTCTCTGGGCAAGGTATATATCCTCTTAATGTCTGCTGCGAGGATCTTTCTTGTGCGTTCCCATTCAACCTGAACTGACATCTCTTAAATGATCACAGAGCAAAGACAAGGGAGATGAGGCATTTTAAGTGCCATAAAAATCATCCGAGCAAATCCTACTTATGTGTCTGTAGGGTGGGTTTTTTGTTATTTTTAATCACAGACAGAATTACTACTAGCAAGAGTAAACAACTGCTAGGGGCAGTCAGGCAAGGAAGAACATTACAAATGATGTCAAGAAGCATGCAATAATGCATGCTGAAGAACATCAATCTTTTTATAACTGGGTACTTAAAGTACTGCATAACACGCTTTTCAATACATTGTTGCATGCCAAATCAAACTAGACTAGCAAATAGAGTCAAAACTCTGCATTTTGGTGTAAGGAATTTTTTTCCCCTTAGTTCTTTACCCCAGAAACTGCTGCAGAGTGCCTTAGGATATGCTTCTGCTGTTACTTCTAAACACCTGGAAAAAATTATAGGTGAGAACTAAGTTTGCCTACAGAGCTATCTTCACTCCCTCTTGCACAGGATCTTATAAAACCCATCTTTTCTAATCGAAAAAAACTTCCTTTTTCAAATGGATGCTTTAAATAACTGATATTTTCCAACATGCACTACACATTTATTGGTACTTGATTTAAATTTTTTAAAAAATGTAATCCTCACTATTTTACGTAACAAATTTTTACAAAAATAGCAACTTCTGTACATTTGAAAATATATACATTTTATATATATATATATATACACACACAGATATATACATACATGTTCATGTATGTGCATAGCAAGAATGATCTCATTTCGGTATTTGTAGGACAGGGCAAAAAAAAATAACCACCTCATTCACAGTGAATTAAATATATACCTTAAATGTCCTCCAACACTCCATGATTTGTGAAAGTTCATATCCACAATTTTCATTTTCATTAGACATACTTTAGATATATTCCTTTGTGTCTCAAGGATTATTTAAACCATGTGTTGCACGTTACCAAATTTAAAAATGACTCTTTAATCAAAATAACTTTAAAACAACTAATCCTCACTTAGGCTGGTCAGCTGAATCCACAGAGTGGTCCAGGAAAAATAAATCTACTCTCAAGAATGCGAATGCAGACAACAATTAGACACAGATGTGACTGAAATTAGTTACAGTTTACAAAATGCTACACTTCACATGCTTTCAGTTTTTTATGTGCAGTACAAAATTACAACCTAGTAAGGAACCACACTTATGACGAGCAGTTAATTCATAGAATAAAAACATTTCTGGGTGGTGTGTGCTTGTGCTTTCTCTCATATATTCCCATTTTGTCAACAGGTTTCTGGGTAATTGAAGTTTGGCAATATAACTCACATATCAAATAAAAAGTGGGGGGAAAAAACACAAATGCTTGGCCTTATCTGGACAGAAATGGGTCACATTTAAAAAAAAAAAAAGGAACTGTCACACCCCCTTCATACTCAGTGCTCTGCTTAAACTAAAAATGCCTTATAGGCTAAATGGCATACACGTTCTTCTTAATACTTCAAAAACATTACTCTGTATAATTTGATTTTTGTCAGCAACAGTCACATCTTTCTCCCTAATACAGACTGCAGATTGGGCACTATGTAGTACATGGCAAGAAAAAAAGGACAATGATAGCAAAGCTACTTAAAATTCATCCATTTAAGAATCTTAAATCAGTAACATCAAATTCTGATTAGTTAATGAGGTCTTTTAAGTTTGCCCTTTTTTCTAATTAAATTTATAATTCTTCACAGATGTAGGTTTTGTTGATGTTCAATTTGTCTCTCTCATTTTGTTAAACCTCACATAGTACTCCACCAATCCACTGAATAGCCACATTAAATCTGTTAATACCATGCTCTTCAACCCCAGAAATTATTTCCAGAAGGCAAACTTGCTTTGAGAGATCATCAAACAGGACTTAAGGTACACATTTTATCACATATTCCCTACCACAGAGCTCAGGATGCAGAGGAAAATTCATGACTTTTGCACTGTTTATTATACTTTGCTAAATTACAAATCAAAAGCATCTGACAGAAGATCATGTATGAAGCCAAAAAGTTAATAATGTTCTGTGAAAAGTAAACTGTAAATGGGAAGAGATTCTAAATTTCAGCAGCACAGAGCAAATAAAATGTAGGTACTTGTCTAAATTACAGGTTTTCCACAGTATTTTTGCTTGCTAGGAGCAATTTTTTTAATGGCTATAATTTAAAACATTTTTCCAGCTGAAAAGAAATTTTCAAAGTGAAAATAAGAATTTAACCCAGAAAACTATAGCCAGCACACACGTTTTCTCTTAAAATACAGTTCTACTTTAAAGAAGCAAATTTCAAAGACAATGGCAGTTTTCAAATGAGGGTGTTCCTTCTTAGGGGAAAAAAAAAAAAAAATCTGTCATTTTTAGTAAGGGGTGGAGGGAGGGAGGGAAAGGGACTTTTCTCCCAACAGCACTCTTTACCTCCCTACAAGAACAACGCAGTCGGTATCTACCGACATAATGGCTTCAACAGCCAAAATGTTACAAAACTAAAATTGGCTGCAGAAAGGCACCTTGCTGGCAATCCAGGAAGCTTGGTAATATTTTCCCTCTTTTAATAATCATATATCGCTGGGCTCCAAGAGGTTGGGCTTTTTCATTAGATATTCACATCAAAGACAAATTGTACTTATTAAAGCAAAAGCAAGTAATTGCAGTTATTAAATTTTTAATTGCCAGTTTAAATGCTTCTGAAGTGCTATCCTGTGTGCTCATTTCATACACTCATGAATGAAACATTTTGAAATCCCAACACTTTCTTCCCCTTAAGAAATACTACAATGTGACAATGCTTCTATTATGACCAGCCATTTAAGAATGTCCTTCTGCTTTTCCAAGATTTTTTTGGCTCCTGACAAATATTTCATACTTATTACAATTCAAACAAAATGATTACTCATTCTTTTTTTCTCCTAAGGTGAAGCATGACTCAATCCGTCTATCACTGTGCAGAACTGCTGAGAGGGGATGGCTGCTCATTTCCAGACCCTTCCAGGCCTTGGGAAAACTCTGACAGCAGCGAGGTGCTTGGCTAAAAACTGCATGTCATAGGTTTGTGAGCAACATGAAAATGCCACGTGCTTACATGTTTATACACCTATAATTCTGTAATGTCTTAACACACACGTATATGTACTTTTACCAGTGCGTATCCGTGTAAATACTATTCACTTATTTGACACCTCAAAACAGTAGTCTGCGTTCTGGCAGATGCTTTGCGAACCATCTCAGTGTGGGTTGGAAAATAAAATAATCTTTATACATGGTATCTAAAGTTAAAAACTTCCAATGCTACACTACACCACATTTCCACTTCTTATTCCAAATTTCCCCCGGTGCTCATTTTTAAATTAAAACAAACTACATGAAACACACTATCATTTTTTTTCCCGGAAAGCTTTTATCTCTTCCGCTTACCTCAGTTTTGAATGTTTGCTTACAGAAGAAAGAAAACCACACCAAACCCCAGCCACCTTCAAAGAAGCAATTTTAAGTGCACTAACACCTTTATTTTTCCAGAATCAATCTTGCACTGTAAAGACCAGTCCTTCCTCTTGGTGTTTGAAACACCAAGAGAATGTTTGGTGGGTCCTGGTTGCTCAAAAGGAAGATGTAAATTTAACGAGACTTCAGAAGGTCTTTAACTTCCCTGTTCTAAGATCACCGTTCTGAATAAGCCACCTAAAACGTCAATAAACGTCAGATATTTCAGTTGTGTAGATGTTTATTCTGTCATCCTGAAAAGTTCTCCTGTGGGGATCTGCATGTTTTCCTTGGTGTTTGCAAAATTTAAACATATTAAGCAAAAGGATTTCCTGCTTCAGAAAGCACTGTCAAAATCTCTGTCAAGCATTCTTCCTCCCAATTTTTTTATTATTTTTCTCACGCTCTCATGTCTCTTTCAACAAGGTCTGCTGGTTTCGTACCGTACGTGCCTATTTCCACCTCCCATTTAACATCTCCCCATCACGTTACTCCTATCTGCCGAACCATTAGCACTCGAGGAAATCAAACAGGAGAATCCCCAAACCTGGCTGATCACAATAAACAGAACCTCCTAACATCTGTTTTGCGGGAAGCTTACAAACCCCAGCCTGAACTACGGCCAAAATTAACTGCTGCCCCCAGTGATTTATAATTGAGCGCCGCTCTCCCTTGGAGCGGCAGAACGCGCGGAAAGCGCCGCTGCCCCTCCGCGCCGCCCGGGACCCCGCGCTCCCGGGCAGCCGGGCTGGGCACGGCCCCTTTCCCGGCGCTGTCCCCCCGGCTGGCCCGTCCCGCCGTCAGTGCCCCCGGTACTCACGGTGCCGGCGCGCAGCTCCGCGGGTCAGAGCGCGGCGGCCGCGCCTGCCATGGCGCGGGGGGCCGGAGCGCCCCGGGGCCGGGCCGCGCCGGGCCGGGGCTGGGCAGACAAAGCGCGGCCAAGGGAGGCTGCCTGCAGCCCCGCCGTCTGTTTGCTCAGCCGTGTGTGTCTGCCCAGGCACTGCCTGGGGGCACGCCGCCGCTCCCGAGCCCGCTTTCCTTCTCACTCCCCTTCGCTTTTTTTTTTTTTTTTTTTTGGTTTTATTTTTTTTTTTTTTTTTTTCCCCTTTGGGTTTTGTTTTTGTTTTTGTAATGCAAACCGCAGCTATTCTCTTGTCCCAGCCTTATTGGTTTAAAAGCAACAACTGCAATGAGGCTTGCGCGGTCTGGAGTCAGCCTTCGCGCACGGGCGAAACGCAGCCGGGGCTGCCGCGCTCCGCCGCGGAAAGTGCGCGGCCCTGGCCCCCGGCCGCCCCCTCCGCCCCTGCCCGGCCGACAGGGGCCCCCTTCCTCGCACCTTCCTCAGCCTCACCCCAGAAAAACTCCTGAAAATCCCTCTGGTCCCGCCTCATTTAGAAAGTTGAATTGTCCGTAGATGCGTCCCCTCTTGTAAACTGGGTTTAAACTAAAGCCGTCCTAATAGAATAACTGGAATTACACCAACATTATATCAGTGAGAGAAGCTAAATAGGGATACTCCTAGAGGCTCTTAAGCATACAACCAGCGTGCACGTCCGGACATGCCGTTTTGATTGGATATGTAACAGATTTGTTCTCAAATATCTGAGATTCTTGCAACCTTGTAAAGAAAGGGTCTGCTAAAACTATTTAAGCTAGCCTTCTCCAATTCAAGGGCACTTATTAAATAAAATATCTGGAACTTTTAAAATGGTTTAAACCACTTAAACCATTAAATACCTCTATGCCTGAAAACAATTGCAAATATAGTCAAATTCGTATTTTAATTATTACTAATCACTTACTAAAGCTTTAAAATTTGAAACGGTATAAAGTCTGTTTCTACAGACTGTATAAATGTTTCCAAAGAAGGAAGAGATGGTTGCATAGAGTTAAATTTGTGCATTAAGTAACCTTAGCTTTTACCAATCAATAGGTAATTAAGTTATTTAATTAGTAAACCATTAAACTGAAATGGGTTTATGATGCTTTTCTATTACAGAACTTTTACTTGCTCATAATTAAAAAAAAAAGTCTTTCAAAAATACGTACATTACATTAAAAAACATTATAACGTACATAGCAACTAAATTTGACCAGCATTCTCCAGAGTATTTCCACTATGCAGACAGTATCTTTCACTTCATGTAACACTAATTTTTTTACACTGTTTTTCAGTGCGCATAATCCACATATGATGAGGAAAACAGAGTAACGATTCGTAGTACCAAAAAAGAAGTCTTAATACCACGCTAGGTCTAAAGTACTAAATTTTAAAAAACCAGAACAAAACGAAAAATCAACAAACCCCCCAAATTTATACTGTATAAACAGATTGAAACAGAACTTTTTTTCTCTTTACAAAAACCTCTGGTTATTCACTGCTAATATATCCTTACCTTCAATTAACTAATCTGTGAATGTGAAAGCAATACTTCTAGAGGAGAAATATCTTCTGGCTACTACATCCCAGTAAGTGAGACATTATTTTGCAGCAAGTACATTGGGAATACTTCAGGAAAGCAGATCGGTTTGCAAAGCTACAAGTCAACCTCGAGCTGAAAACGCACCTAGGATTTCATTTTGTTTAGCGGAGAAAAGGGATCTCGGGACAGTCACACACCATATATGGGAACCCAGGTCAAAATAAGCAGCTTTCGATTGGGCCCGTCTGCGTAGCCAGCACAAACACAATCCCATCACTTCTTCAGAGTCACAAACCACATCTCACACCAAGAAAACTATTTATCGTGTTCTATATTAAACTGCGAATGAAATACAAATTGCTTATTATGGAGTCACGCAGTTTTGTCAGGTAAAAGTCACTGAAACCCTGAAGCACAAGGCTATGCAATCATTCTGAACTATATGCTTTTTTGGAACAGCCACGATCTTCTGGAAAAAGCTTACCACTGAATTCTTTACCAGTGCTAATAAGATCGCTTTTTAAAAGCCCTACCAAATCTAATATAAAGGCGCATCTTGCTTCACTGACTGTAGGACCTACATCTATTAAAAGAATAACATCAGGCACAGACTTTAACAAAGCAGAAGTTTTGGTTTTTTTTATTTCTAGAAAAACTCAAAAAATATAATATTGTTGTTGTGAGGTACAATCTAACACTGGAAAATGTAACTCAAAACCCTTTTTCAAAAACAGTGATACTTAAATGATGGTATGGAAATAAAAAAATATTAAAAAGAAGACTGTGACTTCAATGATGCATGCAAATTTTAGCATAAATCTATTTCATTCCATTATTGAAAATAAAAACCAAAACCAAATAGCACAAATATATGAATAAATTTTAGTATTTTAAATGAAAAGGTGACTGAAACAGGCTTATGGTTGTTTAGTTTGTTGTAGTCCCTACTGGGAGTTACATCTAAGTAATAACTTCAGGAGTGTGCCCAGTCTCTGTATTTAATTAAAGTAAGACAGATCCCCGCACACACGTACAGAGCTTGATGATGTGAGGATAAACATGGGATAAATTACACAGAGGCTAAGATGATCAGAAAAAGGGTGTTGACGATGCATTGCAAGGAAAGAATCAGCTTTGAATTTTTAATCTCTTCTGTAGTATGGCATGTAGGCAGTATGGGAACTGAAGCCATATAAATGATCTAGATGGGGAATATGAGATAAAGTAGGGTCCTCTGTGTTTATACAGCCATTAAAGAGTGCCTTAAAGTTCTTTATCTGATGTCTGAAGATTGGACTTCAGATCAGTGTATATCATTACCCCGTGATAGGGTCTAACCTATGAACTTATGCTACAGCTGATACCATGGACCAGAGCTTCATTTGGTTTAAGTGAGTGCAGTTCTTTTTATTTCCATAGGTAATCTAATTATGACAGCCGAGTACTGCACCGATTTGAAACCTACTTAAAAGAGGTTTGTTTACTTATCTTTTGGGGTTTGTTCTTCCCAGTAACTTCATACCAAATCAGTGCAGGGTGGGTTGTTGGTCACTGGCACCCAACATAATTTTCAAACCACAATTGCACTAACACTGGGTTTGGAATAGAAATTTCAGTGGGATTTGCATATGTTTACATCATGCCTAAATTTGTCCTGATTCTGCATTCCCATTAATGCAGCTGGCATCTCAAGAGTCTGAAGAAGTAAAGGACCAGGCCTATTACATAACGTCAAATGCACAACAAGCCACTGGGTATATTATTACAACCATTACTCATGCAATATGGCTTTAACTTCATATGCAGTGTCACACACTTGTTTTAGCGCAAGTAAAATGGGTCCATCTGGAGCACAACATTTACTGGGTGCTTAGGTGCCATGATTGCAGATGTTCTGGTAATTAAGAAAAATTAGATGTAAGATGGATATGGAACAGTGGGGTGTTCATATGTTTGTCTCCAAGCAGGAAAAACTACTTAAATATTTAATATCAGAAATAGGCCTAGGAAGACCACACTTCACTAAAGCAAAAGATGTATCCCATTGCTCCTGAGAGCCACCACCTGGCTCTCCCCATAACAACTGCAGTGTGACGTCAGAACCCTCTGAAGCAGCAATATCCCTCCTATGCCTCCATACAAGTTTTATCTTACACATAGCAGCAGCTGTTGCCTAGAGACATCTCTGGCTGGAACAGAAGTTTGCAGCATTTGACAGGAGCCCATATTGTCTCATGCTACTCATGTGAGCAAAAGCAGAAAGGCCTTGGTAAATACAAATAGAAAAAGTGACAGACATCAACCATTTAAAGTGTTCTGTCCAAAAACTATCAGTGTGCCCAAGAAGAACAATTTAATTATATTCTTTCAAGATATATTGGATAAAATTCATATTGAACTAAGGTCTGTGTAACGTGTTATAAGAAAAGGTATGTGCTGTTAGCCATCGGCCTTAGCCAAAACACGGATGAACTGCTGGCTCAAATTTGCTAGTTTTGCTAGTTTGCATGAAATTGTAGCTGTTTTCAATCCATCATTTCAGTGCAAATTACAGAACCATTTAGTATAATTAAAAATAGGAAATAGTAATCTTTATTAATCTTAAGTTGGTGCTGCTTTAGCTTTTTGAATGAATGCATGACTTACATGTGCTTCTGAAATAGCTGACAGCTATGACATAAAAAAATGCAGACTGCCCAGAAGAAGTGTTCAAAGTCTAGTTTGAAAGCCAATTCCTTAGTGTATCTCAATTTTTCACGCTCCAAAGTGAAAGCATGCTCGGTTTTTTTCAGTAGATTTCTTGCATCTTAAAAGCATTATGTTAAAGGGAGGAAAAAATAGTAAGTGTGTGTATATATATATATCTATTTTCAAGCACTAGCAGTGCAAATTATATATATACTCAGTATTCTAAATGCAAAATAAAAAAGTAGTTTGTCAGGGTGAAGGACAGGTTTCCTAGATGAACTTAAATGTATCTAATACAATCATTTCCCTTCAGGTATTTTTCAACACCCTACATTACTTGTCTCTCCTTGAAATCTCAGGAAGGGAATGACTGGCACACAAAAATACTGAAAATCTTTGGTCTCCAGATCACTGGAAGTAGATATTCTACCCAAAAGTGATGGCTTTTCCCTAAAGACCGAGACAGCAGGTCTGTGACATCCTGAGGGCAGAGCTCTAAGATCTACTTCAGGTTTAAGAGTAATGTCGCTTTTCCAACTACAACAGTCTTCATTTTAGCAATGTCTTAGCTATTAAATTGAGCTATAGAAAATTGCCTTCCATTTTCCAATAAAGTTCAAGAGTTTTACAGGGGGATTTTTAATACTGTCTGCAGTACCTAAGAAACAAGGGGAGCGTTACTTTTATTTGTTGCACAAAAACTTCTGCTCAAAAGACATATAAACATGTAACTATTTATAAAATAAGTCCTGCTGAAGACAATAAAGATGTGTCTGAAGAAAGTTATTTGAAAATTATCAATAGTAGTTTACAAGATAGGTGAAATGAAGGGAGTAAATTGCAAGCTGTGAGGTTCCTTAGGAAACAGCTAATTTTTCTAATTGACATTCAGGCTTTTACTGCAGCTCAGCATGGAAACATAACTGCCTAAACTTTGAAAATAATCACCCTTCATTGTGAGATGTGAATAATAATTTGTTTATAAAAATGAAGAAGTCAAATCAAATGCACCACTGATGATGAGAAGCAGCTTGCTAGCATTCTAAGGGTGATAAAAGCTATGATCAGTAGTTCCTTGGAAGACTGGGCTGCAGGAAAGCACACTACAAATGAGAGATTACCAGTGAGCTGACAAAATAATCAAGTCCTGTGGTTCTGCAAAGACTAAAAAACACATCATTTCA